TATATATATATAAGATTATCTACTAACAAGATTATTTCATAATTCGACATTATCTTATATGATATGTTATTAACGAAAATTCGTCAATTAAGTTAATTCGAACGTTTAACGTAGCGTAGGAAAAAATTCTTTAAACGTATTCGAATATAAATCCCGTTATGATCTAGCGTGCGAGAAATAAGTACTCAGTTATATACAACCCGGACATTTCGTTGGATCGATGAGTATTATCACGCTTGTTTAAAAACATTTCCTTTTTTCTTTTTTTTTTTTTTTTTCTTTCTTTTTATATTCTCGTAGATTAACGCGAATACTGTTAACGTAATTTCCAAACAAGAACAATTCATCTTATTATGATGCTCATACTATCGTCATAAAAGTATTTAAAATATATACGAGTAATTTTAAAGTCATTTTGAGAAAATCTAAAGAAGAATTACGAGAGATCATAATCAACAGAATTCAATCTTCTTGAAAAAAGAAAAAAAAAATAGGCCGCCTTTCATACGAAGTACAAATTTCAAGTAGAGATAATTTTCTTCCTCGTTAGTCTACTCATTCATCATCATCATCATTGTTGTTGTTGTTGTTGTTGTTGTTGTTGTACTCTAGAACTTTTGTACGCCAGATTGTGAGCGTATTGCTTGTCAGATTCCGTGACGTCAGTAAAATCTTTCAAACTTCTGTCCCAACCACCGCCACTTTGTTGCCAACCACCATGAGAATCGTGACTTTGCTTTTGACTTAAGAGTTTTTTCAAACCGATTATCATGGACAGTACTAGTGCAATTTTACTGATGATCAATGCTTTCCCTGCTAGAAGGAATAGAACGCCCATGGCTATTGGTACCATTGCAGCCATTTTCATTGCCATACCCATCATCATCATACCCATCATTTTCTTCATTTTACCACGTCCCTCTTCAATGCTACGTTTTAATTCAACTGAATTGGTCTTTGGTAAATGTATTTGTATGTTGTATCCATTCAACAGATTAGTTATTTTATCGATTAAAATATCATTTAACAATTCTTCTTTGGATGCAGCAGCACCACCACCATTGTTACGACCCAAATTATCCAAATCAATGGTCAAACTTTTCATCGTGGATTCATTTTTTCCAATACTATTTGGTACCTTGATCAATTCCAAATTATCACCAATCGGTAATGTATCAATACGACCCAATCTGTCGAAGAAAAATATAGCCTTTTTTTTTAAACACGGTGATACGGCTATGTTACGTTGTTGACAATCCTCGTAAACTCGATACAGAGCACGATATCCTTTGTCGAATAAACTAAATTCTTCGTTTGCCAGGTTGACCATGATCATACCACTCAACGTCAAAATTACAAGTGTACACTTGAATAAATCCATTTTAATATCTACGATTATTACCCCAAATAAAAAAAAAAACAAACGGAAACAATTCTCTGGTATCTCTGGTAACTCGTTGGATACTCGAAATCTCGTCAATTTTTAGAATACGTTGACAAATCACGAATAATACACGAGGAATTATAATCGGTTAAATCCACGTACCGACATTTACCTCAATCGACATTTACCTCAACTGTCGACAAGACGAGTGGTCCGGGTCGATATATACCACAAGCAGATGGTTACAATCCTACAGAAAAAGGGGATGAGAGAGCTAGGCTCCCCCACATGAGATCTTGCCAACATCAACATACCACTAAGATAGCATCTTTCTTTCTCTGTATGCTGCTTCACTTCCTCACTCTGCTTAATGTGTCTTTTTTTTCCCCCTCAATCCTCTTCCAACGAAAACAATTTTACCATTATTCTCAACACACGCGAATAACGTGCTGAGAAACATCTTCAAGGCTACGATGGAGAGAAAGAGAGAGAGAGAGAGAGTGTGAGGGTGAAGGGTGGGGGGAGAATAGTAACATGTGACCCTTCTTGACACAGAGACCCACTCGAGAAGATGAGAACCGTGGATATTCGTTGCATCTTTTCTTCTATACAGTTTCATTCAATTTCTCTCTCCTTTCTTCTTTTGATTCGTTAAAAACCATACACAGGTATTATAAAATGGACCAATCGAAAGGCATTGTAGAGAGAAAGACAAAGACTTTAAGTAGACAGAATGAAAATGTGCAAAGAGAAGGGATATACCAATACTATTACTACTAGGATGACTTTGTAACTCTTTATCGGTATACGTGGTTGGCACAGTGACCTAACTGACCTTCCGATTCGACTAACACGACGATTGCCTTCTTCCAATCCTCTCAGTTTTCTATTAAGAGCGGGGGTGGATTTAAACTCTATACACAACGATCTACTTTACTTATTCGGTTCGTTGAATTTTTTAGATGTTAGAGAATCTATACTATTTATCGTTAATTTTCTATAATAGGTTTACCAATTTTAATCAATAATACAAGTTCAGTGATTGTTCTTTTAGAAACACTGGTTTTTAGTTGAGAAATTTTTATCTAATCGTTAATCAATTTGAACATGTCTATAATACAACTAGAAATACAGATTTTGGTTTTTTGTAATTTTAAATAATGATTTATCAATTTTAACTTGTCTATAATATAACAGCAATGATTGCTTTTTAGAAACATTGATTTTGGTTTAGAAATTTTTATGTTATTTTGTTTACATTTTTATGTAATTTTTAATAATAGATCTAGCAATTTTCATCAATAATACAACAACAATAATAATTTTTCCTAGAAATCCAGATTTTTGTTCTACATTTTATAATATTATATATATTATACATTATTTTTTAATATTGTTTTAGAAATAAATTTAAATAAAAATATTGAGATTTTTTGTATTCTCAAAATGTTGATTAAAAAAAAATATTATTTTAGAAATAAATGTAAATAAAAATATTGAGATTTTTGTATTCTCAAAATTTTGATTCAACAAAAAAATATTGTTTTAGAAATAACATCAACTAAATGATAATAAAATGTTTAATAAATTTTGTCAATAATTGAATTATTTATAAATTAGTTCAAAAATTTCTTGGACAATTTTAAATTGAAGAAACTAATGATTTACGAAGCGTAAACAGAATATACTGTATTCCGTATTCCGTACACGTACAATGTAGTCGACACGGTCAATCGAGGTTAGCGCATCTCGCACGATGTAACTAGATGCATCCTCGATGCACTTACCTACTTCGCCGATTATATCTCATGTAATCGGCTTAGTACGTTACCACGGATGACAGTTAAACATTATTAACGCATTTCTCGTTCTACATTCTAGAAAGACAAGTTCTAAATTCTCACGAATATTTTTCTTTTCTTTTTCTTGGTTTTGTATGTTTTTTTTTTTTTTTAAACAATAATAATAACAGATTTTACGAATAGAATTCTCGTGACAAATTCCTCATCAGATTTAATTCAGTAAATCATCATCATTACACTTTCACGAATAGTCTTACATTGTTAATTCATTTTTGTTTCTCAACGTGATCTCATTTTCTTTCGTATTGAAAATTTGAAATCAATGTTTTATATAATTTGAATAATATAAAAATAATTCATAAATTTTCCTTTTTTTTTTGTCTTTATTAAGTAATTAGTTTTAATGTTATTTACGTATTCAATTTTACTTGCGTAATTTGATTATTTTTAAGATAGAACAAAACTTTTACCTGTACTACGAAACGAAAGATCAAGGATTTGAAATAAGAATAAGAGAATAGTAAAAAAAATTCGAGAAAATTTTTTTATTTCACAGGTGACATTGTTTTTTTATCGTTGCTCGCTTATATAAATCGGGTCATTGATTTTTTACTATGACAATTGTGTTCGCGTCACTTGCAAACTCACGTTGCAAAAACATATATATATATATATATACATACATTTATAATATTTTCTAATATTGGTCATCGAGATTTGCTCTGGTTAGTAAAAAAAAAAAAAATCGCAAAATTTAAATCCCACTTTCTCAAAAATTATTTCAACACTTACGAGAAAATTCTCTTCAATTATTATTTCCTTATTTCCTTTTGGTTGAATGAAATTTCATTTATGTAAAATGCGTGCAGATATATATATATATATATATAGAAATGCATACAATAGTTTAGATTTAAGTGAACGCAGTTACACCATATACCGTTACCGACACGCGTACATTACGGTTTATATACGTAATTTCTAAATAACACCGTAATAAATAATGGAAGTTTAACCGTTTCTTTTTCACCGGTAATTGTTACACGACCCGGAAAATTGATCATTTCAATATTTATAATCAATGCAGTTTAAATATAATGATATATATATATATATATACATATATTTTGTTTTGTAATGTAAAAATTTTGTATCATCTGAATTTTCATCATATCATTTCAACGATGCTCTAATTATCATTTACCCGTTATATTGATTTACATAAAAAAAAAGAAATCATCATTTTCAAAGTAAGTCGTTTAAAATAAACCACGTGATGAATCATTATAATTGACTGTTAATTAAATTGTTGGCATCTGCAAGTGGTTTGAATAATATGAACAAAAAAATATATATATATATATTCACGTTAAACACCTGATGACAGTCTTTTACTATATAATGACATTCTTACTGGAGAAAATAAGAAGTTAAAATCTTTTGAAACTATGTAACCCCTTGCTTTACTGAAGATAGAAACGAGTTGAGGACATGCTCGGCCCAGTGGCATACAAAACTCTCGTCGAAGAAGAATATTTGCTTTTTTAGTCCTTCTTCTCTACTTTCCAACGTATTCGTGTGTGTATATATATGTCCATACGTAACCTAAGTTAGACCGGAAGTTGTGATCGGTTGTCAAGAAAAAGAAAAAGAAAAAGAGAGAGAGATACAAAAAAAAAAGAAGCAAGAAAAAGGTTTAAATCTGAAGTCACGATTGTTTCGATATTTCGTATAAGTCATCGGTACACTTGTGTTCAACCTGTTTGCAAGTATTTCTTGATTCGTCTCTGTCAAGAACACCTGTCGCACCTGTTAACGAATACGAAATCTCGATTTGAGATTTAAAATCAAATTACTTCTTCTTTTTTATATTAATCTTTAGATTATTTGAAAATGAAAAGAAAGAACAAAATATGAGTAACCAAAAAAATATCATTTGAAGATTTCAATAATATGAAGAAAGAAAATAATTTGGATACACCTGTAGAAATAATTCCAGTTTTAATGGGAAATTCGTGTAGAAAGTAAAGATCGGAGAGTTAATTGGTGCTGAAGAAAAAAAAAAAAAAAAGATTAAAAGAGAGTATATAAAAGTATTTACATACTTGCATTGAATTAATAAACAAATGTTTAGAGAGCGCAAGCAGCTAATCTTTCGTTTATNAAAAAAAAAAAAAAAAAAAGAGAAAAAATAAAATAAAGATTAAAAGAGAGTATATAAAAGTATTTACATACTTGCATTGAATTAATAAACAAATGTTTAGAGAGCGCAAGCAGCTAATCTTTCGTTTATTCAAATGAATGATTATTTCTATTTTTAAATACAACAATCTAGCGTAAATATTTAATCGCATCCGTTTACAAATCCGGTAATTGATGATATTTGAAATATTTATAATTTATAATTAATTTACTTTTATTCAAACATAAAAAAAAAAAAAATAATAAATTAGATGTTTATTTGAATTAAAATAAATCATGAACAATACAAATATATTTAACCTAAATTATTAAGAGTTGGTTCGGAAAGTCAAAAGTTTCGTTTTTCTTTTATAAAAATGAAGATAATTTTTGTTTCGAGGTTAAACCTAAACCTTTCAAGTGGTCATAAATAGTTGAATTTGATAAAATTAACCTTTCATCGATCTCAAACGATCAGCAAAAAACGAAACGACATTTCGAACCATCGTGAGATATATCATCGCTAATTGACATTAATTCTTCTTATCACGATTGGATAACGTTGAGGGGAAAAAAATATTGAAAAGAAAAGAAAAAAAAAAAACGAGCAAAAACAAAACAACATATACGGAAGTATAATAAAAGCTATATAGCAATCTGAGTAAATCAAAATGAATAATATTACGTGCGAGATGCATTTTATCCATAGGATGCATTCACGCTCTGTATGGCGTAACACGAGCGTGCATTACCGGTCAAGACTAATTGCATTTGAGTTCCTCTATAAAAATGACTTTGCACGTTAACGTTCAGTTCTGTTCAAACATGCTACTGAAAATCTTCATTACTCTTTATCTACTAACATTTGGTATATTAATCGTCGAATGTCGTACTGATTACATCGATAAAAAATTAACGAAAGATGTTATTATCAATTGCAATCGAACATTGACTAATGACGAACAAATAGGTGTTACTACGATTTGTAATCAACGTGAAATGAAGAAAGTGCAAAATATGACGGATAACGACACGAGATTTTTTGATGGCAACGAAATGGATGAAGGTGAAACGTTTTGTTTCTGTTAAATAATACGTAGGTAAAAACATGTCGGAATAATAAGAACATTTTTTTTTTTTTTTTTTTTTTTTTTTAATATTCAGAATTGATCGATTTATTTGTATTATTTTTATATTTTTTTTTATTAGTTTGTACGTTTAATTATATTATATAATAATATTGTTATTATACAAAATATATATTATATATTATGAATATTATATATATAATATATATTATTTATTATATATATATATATATATATAAAGTATAATAATTATAATTATGATTAAATATAGAAAAATATTATAATTGTAATTAAAATTAAAGTATAATAATTAATATAATATAAATATATATAATATATTATATTTTGTATAATTATAATATATATTCATATTGTATATTTTAATAATATTTTAGTAATTTAATTAAATTATTCGTATATAGTTAATTTGTTTTCTTTTCTTTTATTAATTTTTTTTTTATTAACAAAAATAACAAGAAAATATATCAAACATATTAATATAAATTCACATACTCGAGTATCAACAATTAGATATTATCTTAATAGATAATGTTGTTTATTTTATTTGTTGTATATTGTTCTTTCGTATTGTTTGACGTAATTTTTCAAAAGGACGAAGAAAGAAGAACAACAAAGGTTATGGCAGAATATTATTGTACATGATTGGTGCTGCCAAAGTTGCAATACTTTACATAACTATACATGCTATAGCTACAATAGCTGCCAAAGCATTGATTGTTGCTAAAGTTGCATTAGCAGTTGCAACTGCTATTGCAATAAAAAGAGCATCTGGTAAGTGTTTTTTTTTTGTTTTTTTATTAATGTTTATAAATTTATGATATCTTTTTTATTTATTATAAATATTAATTTTCATTTGACAGAACACAGTGACAAGATATCTTACGAAATAGTGAAACATCCTCATCATAGCTACATACAAACTCACAGTTCGAGTATCGATTATGATCATCATGGTGATTATGAAAGTGGATATGGTCATCGTAAACGACGACAAGTTTTTCGACGATAATTTTATTCTATCGTAAAGTAATTTCGTTTATTTCACATAATAAATAAATCAAAGAATAAAAAAAAAAAAAGAAGATTTAATTTAATAATTAACATTGGAAGTATTTTTTTTTTTTTTTTTCAATGATCGTTAACACATTTCAATGTAATAAATTCGATAATAAATAACTAAATTCTAATCAATTAAATGATTTTTGTTACATTGTTTTTGCAATTATTAATATCGGTGCTTTTCTTTTTTTTTTTTTTAATTTTGTCAATCTTTAAATACAGTGCATTGTTCAAATTGAAATTTCTAAATGTCATTTTAACATTTAGTATTTTTCTAACAACATTGATAATGTCAAAAAACGAAAATTATTTGATTGATTGAAACATAAAAAGATTGTAAATCACGTTCAAAATTTTTCTTAATTAAACTTTAAATAATTTTAATATTTAGATTTAGGATTTAGTATTACTAAAATACAATTAATAAAATGAAATTACTTTTCGAATATAATCAATATAATATAATAATATTTCTAATTGTATTACTTGTATAATAATATTAATACAACCCACCATTTTAAAGTATAATTATTAATTATTAAAATATATATATGTAAGAATAAAAAAATCAATAATATCTATGATAGATTATATATATATTATTTATTATTAACAAATAATGTAAATATTCAAATCAATTGATATTCTATTAATTATCATAAAATATTGATATAATTAGTATAATTAATTAAATCGATTAAATACAGAACCTTTACATAGATAGAGACACATACACATACACAGAAAAAGAAAAGGGACGTAGGGGGACGAAGAGAGAGAGAGAGAGACAAATAATTAATTAAATTGATTATTCAAACATATAATTATTTATTTATTAAAGTGGGTGATAATAATTAATACAAATGATATACAAATTGATTAGTATCGTTTAACAAATGACATATTATCCAAATTCAGATTATTATCGATTGTATAATTGTTCTAAGTATCCGATTAGTAATTATCTTAATTAAAAACTGTTATTATCTTAATTAAATGTGTGTTATGGTATAACTCTGCTTATATTCTTTTTATACTTCGTCAGAAAAGAAATATAAGAAAATTAAAGAGCGGAAAAATTGTTGATACAAGAAATATAAAATATATTTTTCATCGTTATAAATTTATAAACGAATAATAACTGCATATATATTTGTCTTTAATATAATCACATATAAATAAATAATACTTAAAAATATTGTAATAATAAAAAATATAGAAAATATTTTATATATTTAATTTATAGATAAAATGTTTTATATTGAATTAATGGTAGAAATATTTATAACATTTTCTAAAAAAAAAAACAAAGAAAACCCAAAATTATAATTCATATAATTCATCAAGAAAAATAAAACCACGTACGATTTCTCTTCCAGTTTATTATTTGTGACTGTGTTTGTGTGTGTGTGTGAAAAACTTAATATATAAGACATTTTTAAATGAGGTATTGGTTAATTAAATCATAAATACATGTTACAAATAAATAAATAAATAAATAAATAAATAATTAAATACATAATTGCACTAACCACTATCAAATATTTACAAATGAAATTCTTATGCTTGATTAAAAATATTTCAAAAAAAAAACAAAAAAAAAATACAAATAAATACGTAATCATAATTATTTAAAAAAACGAGAGTAATTTTGTTGTTAACATAAACGTGCCGATATAAAAAAAAAAAAGAAAAAAGAAAGAAAAACGATAAAAATTGAAATCAATGAATATTTGAATAACAAAAAATTGTCCGCGTTAGATAATTTCAAGTTGGTGGAATTCCATCCATAGCTCGTTGCCAGCCACCACCGTAACCACCACCATAACCACCATGATGTTCCGAGGCTGTTGCGTATATCACCTCGTGACCACCTCCCCCGCTTGATACTAATTTTTTCAAGCCAATTATTGCGCTCAAAACCAACGCTATTTTAGCAGTCAACAATGCGGTACCGGCAAGAAACGCAATTTTTCCGTAAGCCAGTTGTGCCAACATTCCTAAAAAAAACAAAAACAACAAAACACAAAAATTTGATTGAATTTGAAGGAATTTTTATCAATTTTTTTTGTTTATAAAAATTCAAAGATTAAATTAATTTAATTAATCATCTTACCTGCCATAGCTAAACCCATCATCATCAATCCACCATTTCTATTACCTTTCCTTCTTCTACCTGTGTATAAACAAAAAAGAAATATTATTTTCACTAATCGATTTGATTTTTTCAAAATAAAAAAGAAACATTGATGATTGATACATTTATGATATTTATCATAAATGAAACAAAATGATTGTTAATACCTTCAAAGGTGTTTCCAGGTATCGTCAAACGTAAACTCCTCGACGACAAATATTCGTGAAATTTATTATCCAATTGTTCATCCAAACTACCATTATTAAAAACATTCTTCAATCCTCTGCTACTTCTAGCCGTAGACGTTGGATCCTTCTCGATCGATACAAAATCATTCAAAACGTAAACCGAATCATCGTCAATCGCGGTATCCAATATATCCAATGCTCTTCTTTTCAAACAATCGAAAGTATTTTTTTCATTGGTACACTTTTCGAATAATTTGGTATAATCATTTGTTCCTAAAACGAATTGACTAATACCAATGAAATAAAATACAAAAATAATTAAACGAACGTTACGATTCTTCTTCATTTTTTTTTTTTTTTTTTTTAGTTTTGTTTTCCAAAAAATTACACTTCAAGAGAAAAAAAAAGAAATCAATCACGATCTAATATTAATTAACGAACTATTTATTTCATTAACTCTTTTATTATCTATCTACACGAACAAAAATAATACGTTCCTTCGTTCTCGATAACGTGAACTAATCTACGAGATTGTTGAACGGTCTTGGTCTTATATATAACCAAGACTTGAATGTAAATTTTCTTTTTCTCTCCTACCCGTAATAACAACACATATACATTAACTAACAACACATATACAAATACACACAAACATAAATCCTTTTTTACGAATCGTTGTACACGATCCACGCGCTGTTTAACGCCTCGCCCGTCTACGGGAGGAAAACCCCTTGAAGCAGAGCGATCTCTCTAGTACAGCCCCGTAAATAAGTATCCCTCCGACCTTCTTACCAAACCAAGCCTTAAAACTTTCCGGAAGAGTACGGCAATTCCTACGTTAACGTCGATTTATCAATCTATCTATCTATCTCTCTCTCTCTGTCTGTCTTCTTTCTCTTTCTTTTTCTCTTTCTATATTTTTATTTTTATTTTTTTTTTTTTTTTTTTTAATAGATAAATGTTTTAAGTAGAACTTTTTTTTTCACTTTGTACACATAATAGGATAA